CACTCTGGGATCAGGCATGGGACAGTATTGTTTTTAGTGACGAGTCTCGATTTTGTTTAGGCATGCACGATGGTCGTGCCAGGGTTAGAAGGCGATGTGGTGAAAGGAGGAATCCACAGTTTTTTGTTGAAAGACATGTTCATCACAATGTTGGAGTTATGATTTGGGGTGCTATAGTATATGGTTCCAGGTCACCTTTAGTCTTCATCAGAGGTAACATGAACGCGCAGCGTTATATCCACGAAGTTCTAGAACCCCATCTTTTACCCTATCTTGACACCCTGGCAGATCCAACTTTCCAACAAGATAATGCCCGACCACATGTTGCAAGAGTCACAATAGACTTCTTTCAACATAATGATGTCACATTGTTACCATGGCCACCAAGATCTCCCGACTTATCCCCACTTGAGCACGTGTGGGATATGATGGGTAGGAGATTGCTCAATTTGCAACGTCCTCCTCAGACTCTAGAAGCACTTCGAGAGGAGTTGGTGGTTGCCTGGAATGAGATACCACAGGAGGACATTGACCACCTGATCAGAAGCATGCCTAGGCGCGTTGGAGAATGCGTAGCACATCAGGGTGCATGCACACATTATCAAAGGCCAAAGGGCTTTAAAGCAGTGCAATCATTTTGAAATTTTTATCATTTACTTATTATGCTTCATTAAGTACTTATACAAAATTTTATTAAAATAAAACAATTTAAACTGGGTGTTCGGATTTATATGTCACTTAGTATATTTACATGCAGACCAATACACACAACCACCAGACAATCATCCAAATGCGATCTTGCTACTCCGAGACCCCAATTTTCTTTCTGTCACAACTTCTCAGAGATATACTTTACAGACTATCTGCAACCAACAAAGCATGCTGGAGATTTGACTTGAAGTATGATCGTTAAGAATGTCATTGAGTCATTCCTCCATAGATGACGCTATGGTTGACGATTACAGAGAGCAAGAGTGGAATCAACTATTTACACACTAGAAGCTATCTAGTTAGCAAGTTGACATTTTGACGGTTTTTTTGACATTATATAGATATTTACGTAGTAGCCCTGCTTGCAATTTTACGCATCTATTAAACATACTTCACACATCGTAAATTTTTCCGTACATTTGCCTTCAAAGCTTGAAAGATATTTTCAGTTGACGGAACGTGTACCTATCAGTCGCACTTGCCGTACAGCAGGGATGTAAATGTTGCATCTTTGGTAGCGTACCCGAGCAGCTTAGAAGCAAGTAGCGGATCGTCCGGTGCATTATGCTTGGTGAATAATCTAATGAGGTAATATTATAGTAGAACGCAGTAGATTATAATCAGTTATCAAGTATTGTTGACAGTTGACGTGTTGACGGACACGCTCATTACAGCAGTTTGAGGGATTTTTTTGCATGAAAACCCCAAATAGTGCCCTAATATTTCTGACAAAATCCACGTCTTCTTGATGTTACTGTACTACATGAAAAAATTTTGCATAGCAGGCGTGGGAATTATAGGGTCAATCTACTTGATACCATACTTTCCGAGCAGATAAGAGGATACTCTCTGAACCATGATATGTATTTTTCTCCGGCGTGTCTATCAGCGTCATAGAGGGTAACACAGAAAAATCAATTTACATTGTATGAGAAGCTATTTTGTAATATAGTACGGTCAGTAGTTTATAATCAACATTGGGAAAAGTATAGACGTAGCTGCATTTAGATGTAAAGGCAATGTTTGACCCTACAATGACATAGCTTAGTCATTTTGTGCCAAAATTGATAATAGTTCTATGCAGTCAGCCAACGTGATCTATCTCAACTAAATCTAACTTAACGTCATACAAGTGCTAAGACGCAAAGAGGTAAGGAATCAGGTGAGACCTTTACCTACAATAACACTTTTAGGTCATGGTAGGTCATCTGCCAAAGTCTTTAAGACAACAGGTTTTCCAATAAAATAATATTTTTCTCCCCCTTTTTCTCAAGGACAGGTCTTTGATTACATCAACCAATTTTGCCAATTTAATTTTACATCAACAATATAATTTAATAAAAATAACTTTTCACAACAAATTCCGAAACTGTTCTATTACGTTTTGTACTAAAACTAACGCTCCTTTTAATGTATCACACACATTTTGTTTTTTGAACAAAAAACCGGATCACCTTCTGCTGTCTGAATGAAAATGATACCAACTTCTCCCAAAAATTCTTAGCTCTCGACCACGCCAGCATTTCTAGGTTATTCCAAAATGTAAATTTGACAAATCTATCTAATCAATTGTTGTCCAAATCCTTGTGCGGTGGAGTACCAAAGCACAGTCATGTTGTCGCATCCAGTTTTTTTTGTCTCCTCACCATGTGTCCAATTTTACATTTTTTAACATCAAATACTAGCACCATTCTCACTAAGGGAGTAAGTAAAAAGTTTCTAATCAATTGAGCATGGCTGCTATTTTATTATTTTTAATTTGTTGTTTAGCTCCTGATGATGGCAGCATAGTCTGTCGAAAGCTCGAGTACTGTAAGTCAAAGGGTACACTCAACGTAGTTTGTCGATATCCCAAAGTGAAGTCTTCCATTTAACTTCATTTCGACAATAACTGTGAATCGTATATATTGTTCTGTATTATAATACACCGAGAATAATATAGTGTTTTTATTCTGCTGTAGCTTCTGATTTTGGTTGTATACTAAGTGACATATAAATCCGAACACCCAGTTTAAATGGTTTTATTTTAATAAAAGTTGGTGAATGTATTTATCTTACTGTAAATAACAAGTGAAAAATTGTTCAGCCTTATCAGTTGGACTTTCCGGTTTTTATACTGCTTTTTTTTTAATTCACTAACGCTCTAAAAATGAATATTTCAGCCGCAGTAAAGAATCAACGTTGGCGGATTTTGGTTCTTGACATCCTTTACGATCGTTTACGATGCCTAGAGTACGGAGACCTGTACGATTTCGTCAACTTAGTGAGTTTGATAGGAGGGCCGTATAGTGGGACTTCGGGAAGCTGGACTTTCTTTTCGGGCATGGTTTCGAGAAGGCCGTACGCAAAGAGCAAGGGGCACTGGACGCCGCCGTAGAACAACAGACCGTGAAGATCGCCGCCTAAGATTATTGGCCTTAAGGGACCGTTTCTCCACTACCAGGTCCATTGCAAATGAATGGTTTGCAGAACACGGAAGACCTATTGGCATGCGAAGTGTTTACCGACGAATGAGAAGTTTTGGCTTGTTTTCATACCGGCCACACTGGGTCCTCCTTTTAACTCGAGAACACCGACGTAATCGCCTTGAGTGGTGCAGACAACGGTCACTCTGGGATCAGGAATGGAACAGTATTGTCTTTAGTGACGAGTCTCGATCTTGTTTAGGCATGCACGATGGTCGTGCCAGGGTTAGAAGGCGACGTGGTGAAAGGAGGAATCCACAGTTTTTTGTTGAAAGACATGTTCATCACACTGTTGGAGTTATGGTTTGGGGTGCTCTAGCTTATGGTTCCAGGTCACCTTTAATCTTCATCAGAGGTAACATGAACGCGCAGCGTTATATCCACGAAGTTCTAGAACTCCATCTTTTACCCTATCTTGACACCCTGGCAGATCCAACTTTCCAACAAGATAATGCCCGACCACATGTTGCAAGAGTCACAATAGACTTCTTTCAACATAATGATGTCACATTGTTACCAAGGCCACCAAGATCTCCCGACTTATCCCCAATTGAGCACCTGTGGGATATGATGGGTAGGAGATTGCTCAATTTGCAACGTCCTCCTCAGACTCTAGAAGCACTTCGAGAGGAGTTGGTGGTTGCCTGGAATGAGATACCACAGGAGGACATTGACCACCTGATCAGAAGCATGCCTAGGCGCGTTGGAGAATGCGTAGCACATCAGGGTGCATCCACACATTATTAAAGGTCAAAGGGCTTTAAAGCAGTGCAATCATTTTGAAATTTTTATCATTTACTTATTATGCTTCATTACGTACTTATACAAAATTTTATTAAAATAAAACCATTTAAACTGGGTGTTCGGATTTATATGTCACATAGTATATATTTCCTGAAATTTCAGTGAGCCATGCTCACGAGGTGAAATATTCTTGTTGTTTCAAATAACATTCTAATTGCCTTACTCAAAAGTTTAGTGAGGACATGAGATATTTTACCTGCGGGTCCTCATGGTTTTTAAATGTATCTGATTATTATAACTTAGTTCAGGTTAATTTAACAATTTGGGTATTGCTAGTGCCATCACAATTTTCCTTGCACACCGTGATTGAACAGCAGCTTTTTTTTGGTTTTACATTTTTAAATTGATGTAACCGAAGGATAAATGGTTCCGTTTTAGATTTAAACTTTTAATTCTCGGAAAAAAATTAAAAGGGGAGATTATTAGTCAAATCGTTATTTCTTGTTGTTTTTAATAAGTAATTCTTTCTATTTAGGGTTCTACCTTCGGGTTCTGATTTATATCTGGGAAATCATACCGATGGTTACCTTTGCCTCGGAGCTTCCACTTGAGTAGCCACTAATCGGGGAGGCTCCATAGCAGCTATCCCTCCTCTTGTGCGGGAGTCAATGCTACCACTCTGTAATAGCCAAGGTGATTTTTTTTCAATCTTAGTTTTAGCTGCAAACCATTTAGGTGAGGGGTGATACCAACTAATTTGTTTTTGCGTGTCCCCAGAACTTCTTTTAAAAATTTTTTTACAATTCCAAGATCAAATGTCAATCGGAATACTATAACAGAAAATAACCAAGTTATTATGATCGCTACTACGTAATATGTTTTACAAAATACATACGATCAAATCAAGTTGATCAGTTTTTACTGTTGCTATATTATTTCCGTGTATTGAAGTACCGACTCGGGTAGTTTTTACAGAGGTAGGTAATTTGTAATTGCCAACAAAAACAGAAATTCGTCAATTTTCGACTTGGTGATTTTTTGCAGTATACACACGGTATAAACGCGTTTTGTCTTTAAGAAATGCCTGGGGCCTTAGGTTACAACATATGGATCACCCTTACTAAGCAGATAGATTTGGTCGTAAGTGACCTTATATTCTTTTTTATCCTTATCTACAAATTGTCCTTTCTCCGCCCATGAATAAAAATAAGCTTTGGTGGGAAAACCTGATACTGTGGTATTTTGTGCTAAACGTGATGATGTAAACAAAATGTCCGATCCGACAAACCGGAAATCCAGATGTGAGTTTTACGCTCTTTACACCAATTCTCGAATTTCCGACCTTTCATTGCGTTTTCGCTCACAAATCTGTTATTTACGGATCCTACTGAATACGCATGACCTTTCAACCAATTTTTTGCTATTCTCAGGATATCTGCCGAAATATATTGCAACAATATAGCTCCAGAGTGTACAAAAATTTAAACTACGCATATGATGCAGAAATGATTTTAACGTACGCTATACAGGTTTTCCAAGACTTTTCAAACCTCATAAATAGCGCGACTTTTACATTATCTGCAAAAAAATGACACCAAGCGGGTTGGTTCTGCACTTCTCACGCGACGATGTCATCAGCGCTTAAAGGATAATGTTTTGCACAACTTAGGCCCGTATCGTCAGTCGTCCCTACAATTGTAGGGCGCGTTTATGGCCTTCTTGATTGTCATACTCCTTTCTCTCCTTCAAAAATTTCTAGATTACACTTGTCCCGTGTCAGCGTCAGCGCTCTCCTATTGTGAAGATATGTTTTCTTTTTAAATTGTAGGAAATTTCAGGCTGATAAAACATGATAAAACTCAAAAGCAAGCACAATTTGATGCAAATAGATGTTTGTGCCGTAACCTCAAAATAGAGCGCTGACACGGAGAAGTAGAAAACTATGACAATCAAGGAGGCCATAAAGGCGCCCTACAATTGTAGGGACCACTGACGATACGGGTCTTAGACTCTCCGATAAAAAAAGGTTAGCTTGTCATTCAAATAGGTTGATCCAATTGAAGGGTTTTTTGCAAAAACAGCCAATGTCAGATTTCAGAAATTTGGTGCTGTTCGCACCATAGTATGTAAAAATAACGTTGTCAGATCCTGATCAACAATTACAGCAAGAACTGCCATAGTCAACTGCATAATGCGACTGTAAGATCACCCAGTTTGGCAAAAACAACCAATGTCCACGCGAATTTTATCAAAAACAACCAATGTCAACAAAGTCGCGACACACATATCATCATTCAGTTAAGTGCACATGTGTTTATTGAGTAACAGGGTTAGTTTACCATTCACTCCTGCTTAAATTATAATAGTAGACCATCTAAAACACCCAATGAAATATTAAATTTAAAAAGACTGCATATCAAGTCTTTTAGAGGAAGACAATCACAATATTCACGGCGAGTTAATCCGGAAAAAATATATTTGCCTAAAAAATTGAGTGTAAGCAAAATGCATAAATTATTTCTGTACAAAGTTAGAGTTAATGTCTCCTATCCTGTTTATTACCAAGGTTTTAAAAATGAATTCAATATTTCGTTTGGTATTCCTAGAACAGATACTTGCGCTAAGTGTGATGAACTAACATTAAAAATAAATTCTGCCGTTGTTAATGACATAAAACAACAACTTATTAATGAAAAAGATCTCCATTTGAGAAAAGCAGAAAAGTTCAGGCAAATAAAGAACCCAAAGTAGAGGCGAAGGCCGGTAAATGCATGGCGATATCTTTTGATTTCCAACAAAATCTACCTTTACCTCACATTAAAACTAGTGACGTCTTTTACAAAAGTCAGCTTTGGTATTATGTCTTTGGAATCCATGACCTAGCAGACGATTCAGCTGCTATGTACGTGTATACAGAGGATGTGGCAAGAAAAGGCGCCAATGATGTCACATCAATGATTTTACACTACTTGAACAATAAGGATCTAACACACAGTCATTCAGTCATTTTTAGTGACGGGTGCTCCGGGCGAAACAAAAACTACATTATGGTTTATTTTCAGTATATGCTAGTACATGCATTGAGGCTATTTAAGAAAGTAACTCATGTATTTCCTATACGAGGTCATTCCTATCTACCCAATGATCAAGATTTCGCTCTTATCGAAAAAAAGAAAAGACGAAATAGCCCGGATGTTCCCGAAGATTGGGATGCTCTAATACAGGAAGCAATGGTAAAACCATCTCCTTTTGTTGTAGTTAATATAAGTCAAAATATGTTCTTCATCATCCAGAACGCATGCTCTTCGTATTTTCTTAAAACTCACCGACCAAAGTTAGGCCTTCGGGAAGCACGCATAATAGAAATATCTTCCGACTCTAAAAACTAAAAATACTTATTCAGGATCATAGACATACTGTGCTGTTCGAACTATCAAAGTTTTGCCAAACAACTTAGAGCTAAACGCTTTGTATGAAAGATCACTACAGTGTCAAAATACAACATATAAGAGATCTGTCAGCCTTTCTAAAGAAACCAGCTAGTGTTGCATTTTATCAAAAATTTAATGTCACCGAATCAGCCACTAATATCGATCTTTATGAGGATGATAATAGTGACGGGTGTGATTAATATTGTGTAAAATATGTATATTTATCTTCTGAAGAGCTTTTAAATTTATTTGTAAATTTAAATAAAGTGTCAGTTGCAATTTTTGTAATTTCTATTTTTAATTTTCAAACAAAAACAGCCAATGTCAGACATTTCATCTTAATTTACAAAAAAGCCGGAGTCTATATAACATCAAAATATATCTCCAAATCAGTAAAATACAGGTATATTTACTTACAGGGCACAAAAAAGTATAACTTTAGCCATATCGGCTTAAATAGGTTTTTTTAATACCCTGAAAATATTGAATATCTGACATTGGCTGTTTTTGAAAAAACCCTTCAATTAGTCCATAGATATGTTTCCCCAGCCCTACCGATAGTACTTTCCATCTGACAATGTCGCTTCCCAGTACTTCACCCTTCGATGAATTCACTCGTCACATTCGGCACCAGTGAGGTAATGTCAGGAGACTGTGACGTCGGTCAACCCAGAGAGAGTGACACTTGTCGACGATACTTTTCTACCAGTTTTAAAGGCAAATATACAGGGAAACCTATAATGTGTGAAATACGAATTATCGCGGCTGGAAGCGTATAAATTTAGAGCAAAGTTTGAGCGATCTATTTGATCCCTTAGCTTCGCCGAAACTGAACTGAACTCCAAAAAATACTGAGCTTTTTTCTCCTTGGCATAGTAGTAACCTTGTGTGAAAATTTCGTCAATATTCGAAAAGTACTTTCAAGGTTATGGGGGGGGCAAGAATTAGCGGAGTCAGGCCGACAGACAGACAGACATATCGTCGCAAATTGGTGACATGGTTCTTCGTAATGCACAACTCATATAACATTCAAAAACTGTGTTCCCGTTGTCGAAAATTTTTGTGCATGTAATGCCTCCTCCCAGTCGCGTAGGAGTAATAAGGTACAATGCTATTTGTTGCTTTTACTTCGTTCCCCATTTGGGCCACCCTGTATAAATACCGGAAAATAACTCTGGAACTCCAGTTGTTTCACGCTTGACTACCCGATGAGTGTATATGAGTGGCTACAGAATTACTCCACCCCACAATTTAGAGCCAGTCGCTTATTCATCTTTCGCTTGAGGGCGAATTGTTTTGTTGTTGTAGGCATCTGTTCTCTCAATTACTTGAACGCTAATTGATACAATAATCACAAAGCGCTTCAATGGCAGAATAGAGAATGTGCGGTACAATGATAATTCCAATAAACAAAGGGTTAAAAGCATTTGGTCCAAAATGTTCGAGCAGTTGAGGGCTCGATTCGGTTTCATCTCGTTCTGTTCACGCACTGTTTAATTACAATTATCATGAGCACCGATAAACGTATTATTACAATGGTAGATATTTTTATTGACACCAAAAAGCTGAACATAACACGTAGGTCATGTCTAGATAGAAAACGATAATGTGGATTATTAATTATTTCCAGGATTTCATAAGAGATTAGAACGCGTTATTTTTGTTTGCCTACAGATGACAGATAATTCAAAATCCTTGATGCCGTATCAGATAATCTTAGGAAACATGATCAGGTAACTAGTCCAATCAAATGTTCATAATTGTTCAAAAGTAATATCCCGTTCCAATATTTATTTTTATCATCTGCGAGATTTAATATAACTACTCATTGCTTGCCAAAATCCTTGCTACCGACTTCACCATGGACGTCCCCCCAACGCCCTAATGTTGTTGATTCAAAGGGTTCCATACAGTATGCCTGAAGTATCATTCAGAAATAAGACCATCAGAAGGGGGCTCTTGTCGCTCGACATCAAACAAAGCTTCTGGTACGGACTTGATTCCTGCCGTTGTATTGAAGAGATGTGCAGAGCAGCTTGCCCCGGTTCTTTCGCGTCTCTTCCAGATATCTTATGAATCCGGCACCTTCCCAGAAAACTGGAAAATTGCTCATCCCAAAAAATAGTATCTAAGACCGACCCTTACAGCTACAGGCCTATAGCTCTGCTTTCTGTTATAAGTAAGGTGATGGAGAGGTGCCTAAATTGCGAGCTTTTGGACTACCTCGAACGTCACAGCATGATTAGCGACAGCTAGTATGGTTTCCGGCACCAGCGATCCACAGGGGTCCTCCTAACCTACGCCGTGCAATTGTGGAGTCAACTCATCCACTCTGATGGTGGGGCTCATGTCGCTGCTCTTGATATCACGAAAGCGTTCGATCAGCTGTGGCATGCTGCCCTCTTATGCAGACTTCCATCCTAAGAATTACAGTCACCGATACCCGCCTTGGTTTCACTCAGCTATTATTAAGAACATTAAACTTAAAGCTAAATTTAGGAAAAAAATCAACAGGTCTGCTTTTGTTGATGATCTACAAGAATTCAAATGTTTGCGCCGCTTGATAAAAAACCAGATTAAATCAGCGTATGATCAATATATTCAAAATATCCAGAATTCTTTAACAATTAACCCCAATGATTTTTGGTCATACGTTCACTCCAAAAACAACACATCACGAATCCCAGGGATAATGAAATTTCAAAATAATTCTATAGATCAGCCTCAGGATATAGTAAACGCATTCAGTGAGTTTTTCAGCAGCGTCTATGCCACTCACAGGCCCCTTAATAATGCCTCACTAAATCATATTAATTTATTTGTCCATTTTCATCCAATTGAGGAAAATGAAGTCAGGAAGGCCATTAAATCACTAAAGGACGGGATGACATCTGGTCTAGATGGCATCCCGTCCTTTATAGTTAAAGATTGTGTGGAAGTGTTTGTTGGTGTTCTAACTAGGATTTTTAATATTTGTCTTATAACAACAAAATTTCCAGATATTTGGAAGATCGCTAAGGCTAAGGTCTGTCCAGTGTTTAAGCGTGGGGATAAGTTAAATATTGAGAATTACAGGACAATCTCTATATTATGCATGTTCTCCAAAGTCTTTGAAATATTCTTGTACAGTCGCATTTACACTGCCGTCCAGCGTCAACTGTCATTGCATCAACACGGATTTGTCGCTAATCGCTCAACAACCACAAATCTATTTATTGAAACGCAGTACCTCTCGGAAGCAATTGATAGTAATGAGCAAGTTGACGTTATTTACACCGACTGTTCGAATGCTTTCGATAAAATTAACCACAAAACTTTATTAAATAAGTTAGGTGCACTTGGTTTCACAGATGATGCTAGGGAGTTGATGAAATCTTACTTATCCGATCGTAGACAATTTGTTAGCTATAATGGCTTCCAATCTGAGACCTACTTGGCATCTTCTGGAGTTCCTCAGGAGTCTAACCTGGGACCATTACTGTTTTTGATATTTATTAATGACCTCTGTGACTCAGTTGAATGTGAACGCCTACAGAATATTCAGATAAGAGATAGACCGGACATAAACAAGACCACGTGATCATAGTAGATGCTGCTTTGCGTAACTTTGTAGTAAATTAGCACAATTCGATGTGTATACGATTGGTGATGGATATAGGATCATGTGGGGGTGGGGTAAGAAATATATAATGATGTATATAATATATATATATGTTTGGTGAAAGACAGTCGAATATAATTTCAAAATGGCGTTTAAATTAGCCTAAATTAAAAATAATCGTATATCTCTTAAAATTGATTTCTAGGTAACCAAATTAAAACGTTCAAAACGTAAAAAAATGTGCATGGTTGAACATTGTCAGAAAGTAGATTCTTGAATAGGTTTTGCCAAAATGGGTTCAAAAATGTCAATAATTAATTAAAAAATACAGTAGCTTTATAATTACTTATAACTTACCGAATTTGATGAACGACATCTTTTATTGGAAAGATGAGCTTGATGAGCTATCATCATCGCTACTGCCTGAAGCACCAACGTCAATAATGAATGGCTCGACTTGTTCATCTAAAATATTGTCCAGTTCCCACATTCTCTTTTCAACTTTGTCTTTCACGTGCTTAATACAGTTTTCCCATTTTTGCGCTGTTATTAATTCTAGTGCTTCTTTGAAAAGTCCTTTGAGGTCACAAAATTTAAAAGTTGTATTGTGCTTAGCTATATAATTTTTAACCTCTGCCCATATGTGCTCAATGGGATTGAGCTCGCAATGGTATGGAGGTAAACGGAGCACAGTTTTATTTTGACTTGCTGCCATTTCGTCAATGGCGTATTTTTGATATTCCGCCTTGTGATCCTTGACAATTCTTACTAATTGTACTTTCAGCATTGCTTCTTCAAAGTTGATATTTTTCGAGCGGAGCCAATTTTGAACATCAACTTTCCTTGAAGCCGTTGTTGGGACCTTCTCCATTCTTCGAGAATGATAAGGCGCATTATCCAACACAATTACTGCGTTTTCCTCTAAGTTCGGTAAAATTTTTAAAAACCACTGTTCAAACGATTCGCCATTCATTTTCTCGTGGTAATCTCCAGTTTTCTTAGACTCAAAGCACCACAGACCGTCAACAACAAATCCATCCTCACTGCCAATATGGCAGATAATGAGCCTTTTCCCTTTACCTGGAAATCGAAGTACTAACTGGTGTAGATGTATTTCAATAAGCGAACCTTTTTCAAATGTTTTCATCACATTCAGCGAAAAAGCATTGAGACATGAGTATCAGATTGCTATAATTGGGATTATTTAGTCATATTGAAAGAAAGAATATTGAACATCGTATGATTACTCAGCGCTTCGCAATTTAATTTAAAGTTATAAACCTTTAAAAAATGAACGATCAGGAACCTGAAATACGCGCAAATATTAATATTAACAAATTATAACTTTATAAAGCTT